GCCAAATCCACTAGACTACACATACTAAGTTTATCTTTTTCGTTTCCTACATTAGTTCTTTAGATTCTCGATTGATCACAGGGTGATTGATTCCTTTTACTTCTAGAGAGTAGAGTGAAATCCAGCAGGACTAATGTTCCCATACACGATCTGTCGCTATGGTTCTTTTATACCTCAACCGTACTGGGGTTTCCACACACTACATAGTGTACTACCGATGTTTTATAGGAGATGTGGCCGGCCGATTGTGCCTTTCTTTAATGAATGTAAGAAAGAGAAGCTGTATATGACATACACTACACATAAAACCGAAGCAGCACGTGCAGCTCACTTGCTCTAGTTTTATCAGCCTATTCAGATTGAACTGAGAGCTTCTTTTGGGGGTCCCGGCACGTTGGCTCAGATCGAGCGTTGGTTGATTACCTACTATGGGATCTCTGCGCACCTTACAAAACCAAATCATCGAGCTGAACTCCTGGATGAAACTCGAAAAATTAACAAATTGCCATCAGATGCTACGTTCAAGTTCCCCTTTCTTACGGATCTTTCCAGATATGGTGTATTGTCTACAGTTTATCAGATAGATAAAGTACTTACCCATGTTAGAGGTTAAAACGGCGCGACGTGATTGTGGTGGAGGCATGTTAGTAGATGCAGCGGAAGGACGTGGAGTTGCAGAATCGTTTCGACTTGACTCTTTGGTGCACCCAGTAGTGCCTCTAGCTGATCCCCATTTGTTATACTTGGCGTGCCAAATGTGGTCGTACCAAATGAGCGCGTCATAAATGAGCGCGTCATTACTGAACCCAGATGAACCTCATAAACGTAAATGAACTACAACCGGGTGACTCGGATAGGTTGTTGTATGTACATCCACCATGTCGGCAGAACTTGGTTAATCCCACCGGGCCACCACCCAAGTTATCACCAGGGAGAGCTACAAAGTCGACGTGTATCCTTTATCACTTTTGCTATAAAACCAACTACAGGATACACACGGCAGGAACATCTCGATTTCTGGCGCGCCTATGATTAGGATCTGATGCACCTTCAAAGGGATGAAACACCACCTCAAATGTCTGATGTATACCCGGATCTTAACCTTATTGAGCTCTGCCTCGTAGAAGGGTTGGGACACCCGGGTCGTGCCCCCATAGGTAGACCGTTTATACAGCTTTCGGACATGGGTTGGCAACTGCGTGGCCAACGGGATGTTAAATGCAGCTGTATTGCTCTTTATCCACAGCAACAGAACGATGGCACTCACGACCTGGTACAGATACCAAATGTATCTATCTACACCAGCGCAATTCCTGGTTTCCAAAGGAGCGAATACCGAGCATGCAACATGTAGGACAAACCAGACACCCACCGGTACCAGTACCACCTGCAGAGTGGGTATCACCCAATTCCAATCCTACACTAGTATGGGAGGAATGTAAGTATATTGCGTCAAATATATCACAGGATGCGGACAAACAAGGGTTTTGAACTCGAAGCGTTGTTTTCGTTTTAGCTACCGAACTATTGTCCATGAACGTCTCATCAATATGTGGAATAAAGGTCTTCCCAAAATATGGACTAAGGTATACGAGTTACGTGTCGCAATGCGAGCTTTTATTTCTACTGCTTATACGGAACTCCTAAAAGTAAATATGTTACTAACAATGGACCGCTATGGACCTACACAAACCGCTTTATGTGTAGCAGCGGTCCTGCCGGCACAGCGTAAGGAGGCAACAGTATTCATCCAACAGGATAGAGGTCGGAGAATGTCTCTAGGGGTTTCGAAGATACAATATCGTGAGCGGAATGCAGCATAGGATAGGGATCATCTGGACCGTAGTTCTCGGGATATGCGTATAGGTGTCGGTAGCAACGGCTATATGTCGGATATGGTCATGGTCGGCGACAATCGCCGGGTAGTAATTACCAGAACGACGGGGACGCAATAGCTTCAACTCCTCAAATATCCGAGATACACGCTCACCCCTCTCTACCTGCTCTAAATGTAATCTTAGTCATGGTGACTGGGTGTGCCCTTGAGAGATTACAGGTCTCAGGCCAGATTTTACAGCAAGAAACCATCTTTGATTTATGGAAGTCGTCAGAGTTAGCTCACTCCCGAGAGCTATGTCATCAGAAGTAGCTCACTCCCGAGAGCTAATCAAGTTGCTTAAATTACTCCCAAGAGTTGAGTTGTTACTTAACCAACTTCCGAGAGCAGATTAAGTTTCTCAACCGATTCCCGAGAGTGGATAAAGCCTGTCAACCGCAACATTCTAGTAACAGCTGCGGTTCTATGAGAGTCACAACCGATGCGGAAAGGCATCATGTGATCAGCGTGAGATTTAGTTGCAGAGAAGTTGAAATGGAAAAGCATCAAAGTGTTAAAGTGTTCCGCATAAGGTTTCTCATACTGACCATTTGAGTTTTTACCCTGGCCAGCCCAAGCGGCTGAACACTAGCACAAACACCCTTAGGTATAAAACCAAAGGGGAGTTCAGAAATAAATACATACATTTGCACTTTATTTAAAGTCTACTATATTGCACTCTAACAACTTATCAGGTCACTCTGATCTCGCGCTATCAATATGCCTACTGTGAACTCTAAGGATATTAAGACCACCACTATTCTCGAATCGAAGGTCGACTGGTTTCCTTGGAAAACCCAGACAATTATATCCGTGAATTGTGAAGGAACCCCAACAATATTGACCGATCCGACCCCGTCTAGAGGCAACCGATGGACACCCAAGAAAATCGCTGAGGCTTATCGGAAAATCAACCGCACCTTATCTCCACTACTGCAGATGGCGATCAGCCAATTCATTGATAAGCCGTGGGAAGCTTTGCCGCACTGAAACGCAAGTTTGAAGCCCTGACCGAAGATGATATCCAGACATTAGAAGGAAAACTGAACCGCATCACGCAAAAACGGAACGAATCTTACGCCAGCCTTATCAGTCGTCTCAACACGGCATTTGTGAAATTCAAGAACGCCGGAGGTACGAAGTCTAACAACAGCCTATGTGCTATTCTACGGCAGGCTGTAAACGACGATAATCAGATTGTCAAGAGTACGTTGAAGACACCCGCTATGATGGCCATGTCGTATGATGAGCTCACCACGTATCTCATCGCATTGGATCCAGATGAAAGTGACCCATCAACCGTTGTGCACTCAACCGTTGTGCACGGTGCGCATACAGCTATATCGACAGGAAATTGTGCATTCTGCAACAATCGTGGACATTCCATCGGGCAATGCCGTAAGCTACAAGCGCTAATCAAATCATGCGTTGCTGGTAACCCACATAATCAGGGTCGTGACCACGACGGTCGTTAGCGCCAGCCATTTGCAATGAACTGAACGGACGCTCATACACTGCACGAGGAGGTGCCCACGTTACCCTATCAACCCACCATGCGGGAACTACCAGAGCCTGCCGGTGACACGCTGAACCCGGAAGTGAAACACTTGCCGACACGAGTGTAGCAAGCGAGCTCAGCGCTTGACCAAGAACTCGACCTCGCCATTGCCGAGTATGCTGGCGAATTGAAGCGCTTCAGTGATGTTTTTGACACCACCGCTAGTCTTTTGCCCTTCCAAGAAGTACCGCTCGAGGAGGTTGCACGAGCTCTTGCAGCTACTCCTACGACTGAGAATGATGTACATGCCAGATCTTGGGCTGCAGCTGTTAGCACGCCCGATAAATTCACCTACCGGGTTTCTGAAGGCACCACAACTTTTGATCAACAAACGACGGAAAATGAAGCCAGGCACACACATGCAGCGAATAATTCCCACAGAGGCAGCGGTTCTCGAGGAAGAGATCGCAGCGTATTCGCCATCAAATCAAGAGGGAGCAAGACATGGCTCTAGTCTGCATCCCATATACAAACAGTATATATATATATAAACTATAGATATTAGTTTAAGTCTTTTGGGGTGAGAGACTAGTCCTCTGCATCGACACGATGGAACTCGGCGCAGCAATTGTATTCGATCACAGAGTTGGAGGCAATAGCTGTCATCTGGGCTTTTGATCGCTGGTCAATCATACTTGATAGACCACCTGGTTAAGTCTAAGTAGAAACCGACCATTTGCCGTAGTTAGGACTCTGGAAGGGTTTGGGTGACGATGGAACTGTGCGAGGTCGACGAATTCGACATTGGTTCCTGCAGTTACAGAACTTCAACTTTACACCTTCATATGTCAAGGGTAAGGAAATGGGCGACGCGGATACGTTATCTAGACTTGCCGGGATTGATGACGAGGCGGTTGCTGTGGTAATGACGTTGCTAGGCGACGAGAATGAACCAACCACAGACGAGCTGCTACTCGAGCTACATCAGGATCCTGCTCACGTTGGTTGCAAGAGATTGGCTGACTTTTACCGAAAGGTCACCAATGAAGAAGTGAAGGAGCATGAATGCCGCAGGGTGATTCAGGATTGCAAGCCATGTGCACTCATGCGACGCGATATGGCTCGTGGGTTGCCTGCTACTGTAGAAGAAGCCCGGTATTTCATGCAGCGAATTCACGTGGATGTGTTCTATATTTCGCGCAATCAGAAACAGGGCACTCGAATGATCGTGCTAGCGCAAGATAAGTTCACAAAGTGGATTTGGGGTCATGAGTTGTCAAGCAGGGCATCTCTGGTTACTTTGAGGGTAGTCATTGATATGTTGCTACCTTTTGGTATACCCGGTGAAATTGTGGTTGACTCAGGCAAGGAGTTCGATAACAGCGATTTTGTAGGATTTTGGGCTCGATTGGGGGTACATGTCCATGTTATCACAGTTTGTGGTCAGAATACAGGTACTTAGGTTTATTTAGTTATTTTAAGTTTATTACAGTTTTACAGTTTATCAGAATAATCGGATAAACTGGGTTTTAGCGCACACAACAAACAATACGCAAGGGACTAGGAGTTAGGACTCTGAAAGAGTTCTTTATTGGGCTTATAACTTATGGATGAAAAGACGGCAGCGTTTATTAACATAATCGACTTAAGTCTAACCATAATCAGGTAGCATCGAAGTGGAGAAGCGACAACTAGCTACGAACTGTCAACTACAACTAGAGGGCGAATAAGGCGATTTAGTTCGGGTCGTCGACGGAAGAAGTTGTCACAGCAAGAGTACAGAAACGGTGGTACGCATCTATGTGTTTAGCTTATATTAGGTATATATAGGGTTGTAGCGTAAATACTACGAACAATGTCGGTAGCACAAGGTTAAAATTGTGAAATTGACAAACGTACATACACAAATCACTGGAGCTTTTAACAACATTAGGTACTGGGAGCGGCTCAAGAGCACGCACAAGAGATGTGGTTTGCGGTAACAACGCAGGAGTGAAATATCTAACACATAGGTCTTAGGTTGAGGAACATAATATCACAACGGCAACGGCACATGACAAGAAGAGCAATCAGGAGCGATAGTTGGAGTATGCGATGAGGTTCCGAGGCTAGGCTGACATCAGGTCGGAGTAGGAGCAACCGAGGGGCAGGCTGAGAGGTTGCTCCGACCAGCGGGGCACACATCAACAAGATAATTGTTGAAGGAGTGTAAGACATCAGTTAGTGTTAGATGAGTTTCGACTCTCTATACTACCAGGGTCGGTGAGTGTAATAAAGTAATCACGAGTGAGCCCACGAGTTCCTCGAGGATCAGCGTCGAGACGTCATGTGTTTGAAGGGTGGAATCTTGTTAGGAAATGGGTATTTATATTGAATTCTCTACTAGTTCGTTCGCATACATTTCCAGTTCTCTGTTGATACATAACTCCCCGACCATGTCCAATCCACGCCAAAGTCGTAGACAGCAACACCTGAATCCTGAGCGTCGCAAGGAAGATGATATCGACCGACGTGGGACTAAGCGTCGTCAATCCCATCCGGACCACCCTGATCCACACCCAGGGCAGGCTCTGGAGAGGCAACAACAGGCACGTCTAAAGGTTCTACACCCTGTTTCCGCTGACGACAAGCAGTCACCAACGGCACACGAAGACGAACCTGCCCAGTCCGAAGACAACATTGACTTCGAGGGTGAGACCAAGGGAGTGCCCGACCTGCGTGCGGACCGGAGTCAGACCACTACTGGTGAATATGTAGCCAGTAAGGGTCTGTCCTCTCGTTCGTCTTCGGGTACTTCAGGGGCCTTATCCTCCAGTAATGACCAACCACGCCTTCCACCTAACAAACGTAGGCGCTACCGGCGTCGCACCAACAACAAGGACACGGTACGGGACCAATCGTCAGCTCAGAAACTTACTGAGCTGATGGTGCAACTGCAGTCACTCTTAGAGAAGTATGAACAGAGGTTGCAGCGCACAAATGCCGGGCGACCTACAACATGGTTGACTGCCACTGGGATAGCTACTGGCACACACGAGCAATTACAGACGTCGCTAGGAAGCGAAGAGCGAAGACAACCTTACATTCCGTATCCAAGGTCGTACGCGACCACACCATGGACTCGGGTACGAATCACCTGGGTCAGAGGATCGTTCAACCGAGGGGGGGGAGACTCTGTCTTCTATTGAGAACACACCATCTTTTCAGGAGTTCGCACGTGAACAGGTATTAGCCAGGCAGAACCCCCACGGGAGTGAGGCGTTGAAGAACAGGCAGGATCGGCTAGACAGGTGCAGACTGGAAGGAGGCGAAGTTAGATTGCCAGTGACACCAGATCAAGCTGCAAGGATGCGGAAGGCAGTAAGGAACTTTTTAGCAGACAAATGGATACCATGGGTAGATAGACAGGTCCAGAAGTGGATTCAAGATTTGGTCATAGTTCAAAGGGATACATCCACTTCCGTTAACTTACCCTTGCTCGCCGTGCCAGAGTATACTCAATCTGGAGAACTAAAGAAAGTGCGAATGTGTTTGGACCTCAGAGCGGTGAATGCATTAATACCGGCGGATCAGTTCATTG